AACATGTAAACTCCATAGACGTTGAAATGATTCTAAAAAACGAAAAATTGGATTCAACAATCAATATCCAATTTTAGCCTCTGACATTTCCTCAATCTATCCAAACGTTTCAATTCATTGAATTGCACTTGAACATTTGATTAAGGAGAGAATTATTCATCCAGGACTAATTATTAAAGATATGAACAAGGAAAAGGACCATCATAATTTTGGAAGATAATTGACAACCATAAAAAAACGATAAAACTAGAATTGTACAGACAAGACTTCAATGATAACATAAAAGAATCAACAATATAGCATTCCAAAACCAAGTAAGTTAAATTTCCTCCCCTTTCCCTTATATATTAACCTGCCTCACATGCATTGATAGTGATGATATGGAGAGTGAAATTTAAACCAACAGAATTAGTAGTCCAATCACCTAGAAAATAAATATTCCTCATTAGTAAGTTTGAAATATAGCATTTAAACTATAAATAATAATTTGCTACCACAGTAACCACACTTTAAGAGCTATTTGTCAAACTAGAGTCTCGTTAGAATTTCACATGCTGTCAACAATATATCAATATTTGAGTATTATAGTTTAATAACTTTAGGGTTTCAGGTTTCACAATTTTAAGTTTGGGTACCAAACAGGCAGTTTACCCAACGTCTATCAAATGGTTGGGCCAAATAATCTAAATTCAGATTAACGCCTTAAAGGAATATTCTAAAGGCCCAGTTAGGCCCTTTAGGGGCAAGTTCGCATTGATCTGTAGAAAAGCCCGGTAAAATATTCAAAGTTCTTTTTCGGGCCAAGGCAAATATTCAAAGAAAAAGGTAAAATGAAAAATCGATCAAGGATACAAACTTTTCAAAGTTTGCTAATTGAGGATATTCCTAATAAATCATTTTACAGAATATGATACGAACTTTTCCATTGGACCCTGCCCTTAAGGAAATTGAATTAAATAAACCTAAAGGACACTAAAGATTGGTGATGGAGTTCAGTTGGACCCTTCCCTTAATGGAACTTGAAAAGTAATAATTATGAATTATAACCTTAAATTATATAGGATCCTAGCACAAAGAAATTAAATAATATATGAATCACAAAGAATAAATCTACACGTAATGAGAAACATTAATTTAATTTTAAAGGGATGAATCAGGCAAGTATAGACATAAGCATGTACATGTCATATGTTGAGATATCCCTCCTGGCCACTGTATTAATCTAATTAGGAAGTATATAAACTATATGCTAACTCGATATCTGACTGTGAAAATGGATAAAAATGAAAATATTTGGTGGTGATTAATTTGTGGATCCTCATTTCTAATATATCTTTTTCCGCAGTATCCGGCTGACTTATTAATGTTTTGGATTTGTTTTATTAGATAGGCTGTGGAAATAAAATAGTTTTTTGGTAGAAAGATACTTTGAATATCTTGTTCAATAGTTGCAAAAGATCAACGTTGATCCGGTAAAGTTAATGTGAAAAGTCAGAGAAGAATTATTTATTGTTTGAGGAGGAGAGAAAATCCAATTCATCAGGTCTTAATTCGAAGTTAAAAGTGAGGGTAAGTGCATCAACCACTTGAGTTAAGACTTAAGAGTAATCATAAGTTATGTAGCGTATGATAATAAAGTTATGTGTATATATTTTTAATTATAAATTTTGTGGTTAATATTTAGTTTTATTTACTTGTATTAAAAAAACATAATAATACTGATTAAATAGGTGAATATATTTAACTTTTTTATTTTTTATTTTTTATTTTATAATCTTTCCTCCTCTCTATCCAAAGGTAGAGCCAAGAATTTTAGTCAGAAGAGGTTGAATTTTTAAATTTTAAAATAATACATTATAATTTTAAAAGATTACTTTTATACTATAAATTAAAATAATATTTAACAATTTTTCATATCACAAAATCTATCTATAATAAAGTTTACATTAAATGTTTGAATTATTTCTCTTTTAATATAAATAATCAAAGAATTTGAAAAGAAATCATTTTTCATTTTGTTGCAAAGTCTTATTTTCACAATTTTTATGATAGAAAATGCTTTTTTTGTTGTTGCCGTAGAAACTGAAAGGATAAGTACCAAAATAATTAACTTGTAAATGAGATTATAAACCTCTGATTTTTTGGTTTATACAAACCATTGATAAGTTTAGAAATATTTAACAAATTCTGAAAACCTTTCGTAACTTGTTTTAATCTCATAGTATCGAAACTCTGATCTCAAATAAACATTCTCCATCTCTAAAAAATCTTGAAGATAATATTTTTCTATAAACTCATAAATATAATCAATATTAAAACTTTTATATCTATTTTTAAGATTTAAAGCAGCATTGAGAGTCAATAGTTCTAGACTCTTTTTTTTTTTTTTTTTTTTTTGTTGGGTATTTTGAGGTTAAGGGATTGCGGCTGGGTACTGCAGAGAGAAGGTAGAAGACATAAGGAATCTTCTT